GGCGGGTAATAGGGATGCTAAAAGTAGTCACACTTCAAGTGGACAATTTATCTCCCTAAAAGGCAACAATTTTAACCAAATTTACAACTTAACCTTAATTATTATTATTAAATATTAAGTAGATATTTATTTTACCGAAAACTGCGTAAGTTATGATAAATTTCCACTTGCCAGTGGCAACGCACACGCTTGCCAGCGGCACCACACTCTTGCCAGGGGCAATACACGCTTCCCAGCGGCGATACACTTGCCAATGGCATCGAACACTTACAATGTAATAGTGGCCCCCCAGTAAAAAGAGAAGTATACCATTTTATTGGTCGTTTTCTGTACGGAGTAAAGAGAGAGAGAGAGGATGGATACCCTCAGGGGGGACTTCAGTAGGTCGCATTAGGGCCGTAGTTTCTTGAATTTACCTGCTGGGCCACCATCTCTCTAGTGGCCTCAACGGGGACAGGAAGCCGGCAGCTTTTAGAAGGTTTCCCCCTCACTGTAGTCTATAGGAAAATTGTGTATCTAATGTATTCTTAGTAGTAATAGTAGTAGGTCTCCGTGGTGTAGTGGTAAGACACTCGCCTGGCGTTCCGCGAGCGCTTTGTCATGGGTCCGTATCCTGGCCGGGGAGGATTTACTGGGCGCAAATCCTTAACTGTAGCCTCTGTTTAACTCAACAGTAAAATGGGTACTTGGTTGTAACAACGATTCTTCGCGGTGGGGATCGTATTCCAGGGACCTGCCCGAAACGCTACCCGTACTAAGTGGCTGTACAAGAATGTAACAACTCTTGTATATATCTCAAAAAAAAAGTAGGCATCCATCAGTCTCAGGAGACTATGGAGTTGCACGCTGGTGTCGGCCTGGTCTGAAGTGGCTTCACCAGGGCGCAAAGCCAGGGTAGGTTGATTCGGGGGAGAAACTGTTACCCAGGCAGCAGGTCCCCCCCCCCCCCTCTCCACGGCGCTGAAAGTCAGTATTCTTAAGTGTATCAATAATAATACGATTTATTTCATTTCATAAATTTCAAATGTTTTTCATCCCATTAAAGAAATAGTACATGGGGTTATGTACAATGTTTTCTGCTTCTAGGTGTTTACAGGATACAGAGTTGACTTTAGTCCAGTACTATGTTCAGGAGTATACAGACTAGATTAGTGGATTTAGGTATTGTATGTACTAGCTCTATCTTTAAATCCAACATTATGTTTGTAACTCATCTTCAATGTACGTACCTTTACCTGAATAAAAATTATAAATCTAAATATAATCTAAATCTAAATCAAGATGGTCAGTATAAGCTCTTGTGGTGAGCTTCATAACCCTTCAGAGGCTGATATAGGCCTTAAACACAACACCACACCAGCCTTTAAAAGTAATTTTCTTCCTTGAAGTGAAGTTCTTTGCCTCGATCTTGAAAGTCGTTGTTACAAGTTATATATATGTATATATATATATATATATATATATATATATATATATATATATATATATATATATATATATATATATATATATATATATATATATTCAGTTATAATAATTATAATATTAATTCATTGTGCCGGGGTCAAGCAGCTAGTGTACATATACGTGTATATATGTATATATGTATATATACATGTTAAGCTTATATCGACATCTTTCCCCGCCTCTTCAACATCGAAATACTGACCCTACCCACGATGCAATTCCACAACAGCTGACTAATTACCGGGTAGCTATTTACTACTTGGTGAGCAGAGGCATTAGGTGAAAGGAAACAGGCCCATCCATTTGTGTGTGCCAGGTATTCGTACCCGGGATTCCCGATTGTGAGTCGAGAACGAGCCCCACTGTACTACCGAGACCCCTGTAGTAGGTCACATCTTATGCGTGTCGCTTCAAACTAGAATAAATTAAGTTCTTTTAAATAGATTTCGCAATATTTAATTGCTCTTACATGTCGATGTTTACACACAAAGTTAATGAGGAAATTATAAAATTAGAAGGACTAAAGAGTCCTGAAGAACAACCATAACAAACTCCAGAATTGAGCAGATAAATGGCTGTTAGTGTTCAATATCAGCAAGTGCAAGGTAAGGAAGACAGAGAAGGGCAATATGCGACTGTAAGTAATCTCTTCCACAAAGGGAAGTCATATACTTGGAAAAATTATCCTTAGTAGTGGATTTAATACCAAAACTAAGACCAGAAGCGAAGATTCTTACAAGGTAATTTATAGTCTTGTGATAGCAGCACAAGAACACACAGCCACTCTTCTGAGAGAAGATCTGGTAGCAAATCCTGCCAGTCACAGTGGTAGACTGAGACCTACACGGGTAGTAGATAATAGTCACGCTCCGAAGCGTCACCCTTCGCTGTGACCGAGTTAGAATTTAGCTTTCATGCTGAATAACGGCGGTGAAATACAGTAGTTCCCCTGCGTGACTGTATTGCAACATAGTCCTATCTTGCAAGACTGGGTCAGGGCTTTCAACCTATATGAGCGGATTCTACACATGCGCATGGACCCACGCACACACATGAGCTAATGTCTCAGGAATCTGTGCACCAGTTGATTGACAGTTGAGAGGCGGGACCAAAGAGCCGAAGCTCAACCCCGGCAAGGACAAATAGGTGAGTACACACGCACACGCACGCACACAGAAAGACGGGACACCACGAGTGTAGCTCTTATCTTGTAAATAAACTTAATAATTATACACATACACACACACATCACACAATTAGATCGATTAAAAAGGCGGGGTCCAAGAGCTAATAGCTCCATTCTGCATGCACAAATAATAAATACACACTGCAAAAAGAGCCTTTGATACAGAACCGCACAGGAGATGCCAAACAAGCGAGGGGAGCCAAAGAAGAGGACACAGAGAGAAGCACAGCACACGAATGCTTCAGAGGAACATATACATATTGTTCTCTGCGTCACAGTATTACAAAAAATAAGTGAAATAGTAATAATCACTATTACTAATAATTGCTTTCAAATGTATGAGATATGAGAACGTAAAAGCATGGAGCTCATATGTTCCTGCCACAAAAATAGGCAGTTGTATCTCGTAGAAATTCTTATATATAAAACAGCAGACGTTCTCAGGCGCATTACTCCTACATTTTCCGCGTCAGCAGCTGTGTTTGAAGCATGTTGTTCTCTGTTTAGAGAGACTTGTTTAACCTCCGGTCTGCTCCACCACGCAGCAAGGTGCTTAAAAAAATATACAAAAAAAAATCGAGCTTTCCCTACCCAGCAAACCTCACAAGAGAGGCGGTGCCGTGAACGGGGCTTTTACCCGAGTGAAATCTAAGGTGCCATTTCCTGACAATCAGCCGTGATAGGAAGAGACACTTCCGATGCAATTTCCGTGTGGTGGCTCGAGGCTGGCTACCATCACGTAGGAATCACATGATATATAAGTCATGTCATGTAAGTCATAAGTCATGTATATAAGTCTGCCCTAAACGCTTTGCGTAATAGTGGCATTAGGCATTGTATGTATGTATGTATGTATGTATGTATGTATGTATGTATGTATGTATGTATGTATGTATGTATGTATGTAGTCACCTAGTTGTGCTTGCGGGGGTTGAGCTTTGTCTCTTTGGTCCCGTCTCTCAACTGTCAATCAACTGATGTACAGGTTCCTGAGCCTACTGGGCTCTATCATAACTACATTTGAAACTGTGTATGGAGTCAGCCTCCACCACATCACTGCCTAGTGCATTCCATCCACTAACTACTCTGACATTGAAAAAATGTATGTATGTATGTATGTATGTATGTATGTATGTATGTATGTATGTATGTATGTATGTATGTATGTGTGTGTGTAAGTATATCGAGGCAGCGTCATCTTCGACCAATACACAACTTGTTTTAAAAGTTGAATTATTTCACTTTGGAGACGTGATAGGGAGCGAGAACTCACGAGTCAGGTTTTGCATGTAAGTTAAACAGTCTAGACGAAGATGTAGTTGAAGTTAACATGATAAAATAAATTTATTAAAAATATTATAGAACGAAATAGCAATTGATTTAACGTTATAAACAACAGAATGTTCAAAAAGGCGATGGCTGTTAGCTTACGCTCGACCCTGCCAGCACATTTAGGTGAAAACTCCTAGATTTTCTAGATACAGATACAGATACAATTTGATACAGATTTTGATACAGATACATTTGTGAAAACTTCTAGATACAGTTAGACACCATACAGATGAGATACTAAAACATATGTGGGCCTCTAACTCCATCTCTCTCTCTCTCTCTCTCTCACCCGTCACTTTAGAGCAAGAGAGAGAGAGAGTAAAGCGAGTAGTGTGTGAGCGAGGGAGCGCCGGCTGGGGTGTTTGACATGCAGTCCTCCACCGCCCAGACCCACTGGCCTACTGACCTTGGCATTACCAACCACCAACCATGGCCTTGTAGTGAGGCGAGGTGCAGAATGGGAAGTGTTCGGAAGAAGAGGAGGAGAAGACGGAGATGGAGGAGGAAGAGGAGGAGGTGGCTAGTTGTAGATTATGCCAAATTGGAACTTTAATGATTTAGAAGAGGGAAGAAGGCGGTGGATAAGTTAGAGAGAGAGGGAGAGGGATGGTGGGAATCAGTGAGGGAGAGAGACAGTGAGAGAGGGAGACAATGAGGGAGAGAGACAATGAGAGAGGGAGACAGTGAGAAAGAAGAAGATACTGAGAAAGGAGGACACTGAGAGAGACAGATTACAGAAGAGACTGGTACAAAACCCCTCCAGTACGTTCATCTGTACCTGTCAATACATGCGTGTATGTCTACACTCGCGATTTATACATCATTGATACATACACACGTGATATATATACATTGCTTTCATATATACATTTGTTGTGTAGCCGTTCGTGGTATGTACACTCTCTGACATAAACACTTGAAAAGCGAGCAAAAGCCAAGTTCACATCGCCTTATTTTTTTTTTTAATAAACAACTAAATAAAAGCAAATAAAAAAGGAGGATAAAAACCCTTTCATAATATAAATAATTTATTGGATGTTGTACAGTAACTCCCTAACAAGTGTTAACATTAATGAAACATCTACTTTTTTATATAAAAAGTTCAGGAGCACACAACATATCACAAATAAATAATTCAAATAAATTACGACAAAGACGATGATTAAAATGTGGGTGTCGACGCGGACCGAGCGAATTGTGACTGAAAAAGAGGGTTTGCTCGGTCTAAGTTTTGGTGAATAAAGCGACCTATACACAGCAAGCGGATCTGCACGAGGACATAGAGAGAGAGAGAGAGAGAGAGAGAGAGAGAGAGAGAGAGAGAGAGAGAGAGAGAGAGAGAGAGAGAGAGAGACAGACAGAGAGAGCCAGACAGACAGACAGAGATAATGAATCCTGAGTGATCAAAGTCATTCATATGTGGTTGTGGGTATGTTGTAAACATATGTGGCTTTGGGAAGTGCCAGATTTATGTTGCCAAGTGTTGTTCGTATGTGGTTGCACAAAGTTCCCTACATATGTGCAAAATGCAATACGTATGTTGCTGCACATTGTGCCGTATAAATAATGCTACGCAAAGCTGCATGCGTAAGTGGCTGAGTAAAGTGACATAATATGAGGCCAAGTGCCGTGGCAGCACTTAAACCCACATCCATCAATGATCTGGGCAACATTAAATTGTGAATGACCTTATTCTTATCCTCACGTTAAGTGGAATAATACTTATGAAAAAAACCCACTCTCATTCAGCATTACGACCCGTGAAACTGTGAGGCATACATGACAAAACGAGGAGGAGAATATGTGAATGAAGAATATACTCACTACTGAGTTTAATATAATGCTCTTGACCTTAATTCCAAAAAAATATACCCCCGTGAGCACCATGTAGCACAAACCAAAAGTCATGTAAATATACCCCCCTCTAACCCACTCCTCAAAAAAAAAAAATGGTTCGAGTCAAAATATGGACAAAACTCGTAGTCGAGTGAAGACAATGTCGTTCCAAACAGGTTTGGTGAGTGGTGGCGGATGTGGGTCAAGCGACGCTCCCAGACACACTACTGACATAGCGGGCTCTCAGACCACCACATTATAAACAAAAAACTCCTGCTGTTTTATACAAGAATTTCTACGAGATACTATTTTAGTGGTAGGAACATATGAGCTTCGTGTCTTTACATTCTCATATCTCATGCATTTGAAAACGATATCAATTTGTGCTATATTTAGAAATGTTATGAAAGCTGGTTTGTGGATCTGGGTATGAGGAGGAGCCTCTACTTTCTCCGCTAGAGGGCAAATGAACTTCAAGATTTCTCTTACGTGCCTCCTGTAGGGACCTTCCGACCAGATCTTTCGGGTGAGATCTTCCGGTGAGATCTTCCGGCGAGACTTTCCGGTGATACAGGGATGGGACGTGGCTTTAGCTATGTTGTCTCCCTATCCGTCTGGATCCTATCAATCGCTGCTCTAAGTGATTTTGTCGCAATGAAAAGAAGAAGAATGGCAACTCCTGAAAGGCTGGCATTCATTCGCAGGTCAATGTGGGAGGAGCTACAACAGGTTTTTACGCGAAGAGAACAAATAAAAAAAAAAGTTGTCTAAAAATGTAACCTCAATTTTGATGTACGCTGTCATTCTAATTGCCCTCTTGGTCAAGTTTAGTCCAAACCCTCGTTTTGGGTATGGTTTATTTCACGATCTGATAGTCCCTTAACGTATCAGTTTTTTGTTGGCAAAATTAGAGGCTGAGCTTTAGCAGTAAACACACTTAAGGAATTAAGAATCTACATACCCGGTCTTAGTTTGTGCTACAAGGTACTCTCCCATTTTGCCCCAGTGAGACACCTAGCAAAGGAAGTGAGTCTCCTAGTAATGGTGCGACAGTCCATTTCAATGTAACTTTACAATCCCCCGTCCCTTGAGCTGCGATATGCCTCGCAGATCGCGAGCGATCGCGATCTGGCGACATGAACTGAATACCAGAGAGCAAAACTGATGTAAGGAGGAAGAGTTTTAACTAGATGCAGCATCCATGAGCAGCGAGACCTTTTGGAAGGCGTTGACTATAGGTTTGAGAGAGAGAGAGAGTGTGTCAATGTGGCACTCGGGGTACTTGACCCCACAGTCCGACCCGTCTTGGCCCTCCCGCGCAGACTTGAGGTATCGGAAGAACCTCAGGATCCTCTCATCCGACACCTTCGGTCTTTGCAGTTGCTCCAGCGTCCTGTAAGACAAGAAATATGTATATAATATGAAGCTTAAGAGACTTATATAGTTGACCAAACCACACACTAGAAAGTGAAGGGACGACGACGTTTCGGTCCATCCTGGACCAATTTCAGGTCGATTGTGAATCTCTCACAGTCATTCACAATCGACTTGAGAATGGTCCAGGACGAACCGAAACGTCGTCGTCCCTTCACCTTCTAGTGTGTGGTTTGGTCAACATATTTCAGCCATGTTTCACTCCTCGTCTGCAGACCTGTACAGTATTGCTCTGTCATATTCTATCACTATTGGAAGGTAAGCCAGGTAAAGGTGATTATTAGGACAAAGCACTATAGGCCTATAAACAGCGAACATATAGTACATGGAAGGGATAAAGGGACGGGCATCTGGGATAGGACTGAGGGGAGGAAAGGTGCCCAACTACTTGAATCATCGGAGATCGAACGTCAACCTGAATAAAACGAGGTCATTGCTCTACCGACCAGTCCAAATAGGGAATCTCTATAGCACCATATCAACGACACTGACCTCAGATTCACACACCTGCACCAGGTGACCTACACGTGCAAACCCAGCCTCAGGCTGGGAAAGTAACACCGGTTAACATTCCTCTCTCCAGAGGTAAAACTAGAAAAATAGATCTTGGTCCATATGACATGAATTCCCTCCCGTATGAACGGCATATTGGCCCCGGATGTGACTGTGGGCTCTGACGCTGGAATCTGGTTCCTAAGAACTGAACTTGACCCACGTATCAATGAGATAAATATGGAGACTAGAATTTTGGTATCGGTATATTTGAGCTTGCTAACTGAAGGGATTCGACCGTCCGGAGTTGAATGTTGTGGTGGCAACACTTGCTGGACGTATGTGAACCATGTTGAAATAAAGTTAATTTAATTATTGAACCAAACAGGTGCGTACGACTGCTCTGTTTACCTGTATGCTGGCAAGTTAGACACCAAGAGAGTTAAAGAGTTCTAGCAAGGATCTTAGTCGAGTATTCTGAAAGTCATTTAGAACCTACTTTGCCTCACACAAGACAAATGTTCATATTGTTCTGGTATAATTAGATTATGATCAAGTTATGATCTAATTATAAACGAATTAAATAAGTTTGGTAAATGTCCAAAACTATATTTAATCAAAAGTCAGTAATAGTTATGAAATCTAAACAATAGAAACTTTATAAATATTGAAGCCATAAATAATGAAATCGAACTCCCAATCCTGGACTTCTTAGGCACACGCACAACCGACTGAACCATGATGAACTTCAAAGTATTTCAAACATCGTTCAGTCAGTTGTGTGTGTGTGTTCCTGGGTAGTCCAGAGGTGAGAGATCACTGGGTTGTACCCAAGGGTACCTGGGTACTACCCAAGGGTACCTGGGTACTACCCAAGTATTTTGAAAGTCATGTAGACTTTCTTCATGTAGAATACTATTATATCACAGGGTAGTACCCAAGGAAGAGGCATCAGAGGGCAGTACCCAAGGGAGGGGCATCAGAGGGTAGTACCCAAGGGAGGGGCATCAGAGGGCAGTACCCAAGGAAGGGGCATCAGAGGGCAGTATCCAAGGAAGGGGCATCAGAGGGCAGTACCCAAGGAAGGGGCATCAGAGGGCAGTACCCAAGGAAGGGGCATCAGAGGGCAGTACCCAAGGAAGGGGCATCAGAGGGCAGTACCCAAGGAAGGGGCATCAGAGGGCAGTACCCAAGGAAGGGGCATCAGAGGGCAGTACCCAAGGAAGGGGCATCAGAGGGCAGTACCCAAGGGAGGGGCATCAGAGGGCAGTACCCAAGGGAGGGGTATCAGAGGGCAGTACCCAAGGGCATCAGAGGGCAGTACCCAAGGGCATCAGAGGGCAGTACCCAAGGGCATCAGAGGGCAGTACCCAAGGGCATCAGAGGGCAGTAGTACCCACTAACACTACTCACACTGTCAGTTGTCTGGAGAGGAAGTCACTGTACGGGGTGTAGGCATCAGGGTTCTTGTAGATATTACAGACAACCTGTTGAAATACACATTATGTTAATGGGTGTTTGGTGTATTAAATGGTGTATTAACCGGTGTATGCCTATTGTGTATTAACGGGTGTATGCCTATTGTGTATTAACAGGTGTATGCCTATGGTGTTTTAATAGGTGTATGCCTATGGTGTTTTAATAGGTGTATGCCTATGGTGTATTCCTTTGTGTATTAACTTTAGTATTAAATGGTGAATTAAATGGTGTAGTAATAGGTGTAGTAATTGGTGGTATTAAATGGTGTATGCATATGGTATATTAACTTGTGAATGCTAATATTATAAGTAGTTTATGGTAATGTTATATTAACTGGTATATGATAATGTTATATTAACTGATGTATGATAATGTTATATTAACTGGTATATGATAATGTTATTTATATTATACTTGCCTAAATTATATTTCGTGATGCTTGTTCTAAAACAAAATTTCAATGATAAAAGTAGAGAGAGAGAGAAGGGTGTGCTGTGTTTTCTTTGAAACCAGAAAATCCTTGACATCGTCCTGATTGCACCGTTACTATTCAAACTTGAGAACAAATCTAGTGTTACTGGAAAAGTTACCTCATACATAGGAAACAGACAGGTGAGGTTGGAATGGTGAGATGTCATTGATATATCAATGCCTAATAAAGTAAATAAGATCATTCATTTCTCTCTTTGAGGAAGACGCAAATATAATAAGAAGGATTGCAAAAGATTGCTGGTGGACTTCAATGAGCATTAGAGATAATTAGAAAGATGGTTTCTAGACTTTAACCCTGAAAATTGCAAAGTAATGACGATTGGAAAGGTCCTCTTTGTATTGGCTTTAGAAGTTAATACATAGATGCCTTCAGAACACTGTATGCAACGTATTTACGACCGACTCTCAAGTATACAGCTCCAGCTTCGAATTCCCACATATAAAAATCCATAATCTTACAAAAGAAAATGCTCAAGGTATGGTAAACTTTTATATATTATACTTGCTTAAATTATATTTCGTGATGCTTGTTCTAAAGCAAAATTTCAATGATAAAAGTAGAGAGAGAGAGAAGGGTGTGCTGTGTTTTCTTTGAAACCAGAAAGTCCTTGACATCGTCCTGATTGCACCGTTACTATTCAAACTTGAGAACAAATCTAGTGTTACTGGAAAAGTTACCTCATACATAGGAAACAGACAGGTGAGGTTGGAATGGTGAGATGTCATTGATATATCAATGCCTAATAAAGTAAATAAGATCATTCATTTCTCTCTTTGAGGAAGACGCAAATATAATAAGAAGGATTGCAAAAGATTGCTGGTGGACTTCAATGAGCATTAGAGATAATTAGAAAGATGGTTTCTAGACTTTAACCCTGAAAATTGCAAAGTAATGACGATTGGAAAGGTCCTCTTTGTATTGGCTTTAGAAGTTAATACATAGATGCCTTCAGAACACTGTATGCAACGTATTTACGACCGACTCTCAAGTATACAGCTCCAGCTTCGAATTCCCACATATAAAAATCCATAATCTTACAAAAGAAAATGCTCAAGGTATGGTAAACTTTTATATATTATACTTGCTTAAATTATATTTCGTGATGCTTGTTCTAAAGCAAAATTTCAATGATAAAAGTAGAGAGAGAGAGAAGGGTGTGCTGTGTTTTCTTTGAAACCAGAAAGTCCTTGACATCGTCCTGATTGCACCGTTACTATTCAAACTTGAGAACAAATCTAGTGTTACTGGAAAAGTTACCTCATACATAGGAAACAGACAGGTGAGGTTGGAATGGTGAGATGTCATTGATATATCAATGCCTAATAAAGTAAATAAGATCATTCATTTCTCTCTTTGAGGAAGACGCAAATATAATAAGAAGGATTGCAAAAGATTGCTGGTGGACTTCAATGAGCATTAGAGATAATTAGAAAGATGGTTTCTAGACTTTAACCCTGAAAATTGCAAAGTAATGACGATTGGAAAGGTCCTCTTTGTATTGGCTTTAGAAGTTAATACATAGATGCCTTCAGAACACTGTATGCAACGTATTTACGACCGACTCTCAAGTATACAGCTCCAGCTTCGAATTCCCACATATAAAAATCCATAATCTTACAAAAGAAAATGCTCAAGGTATGGTAAACTTTCACATGGCAGCGCTGAGAGAACTCAACTTTAATGTCTAGCTGAGAGAACTCGCCCTCATCACGTTAGAGGACAAACTAGCTACAGGATGTGTAATAACAACATAGGACAGAGAGAGAGAGAGGGCTTTATCAAAGTGGCAAAAGAGACATTTTTTAATCTAGAAACGGTAGGACTAGCGGCCACGGGTTGGAGGCTTTGAGACGCAGGTAAACTGGGAAGATAATAGAGGTAATGATGATGAGAAATCGCTAAACCAATACGACTATATAACACTTGGAAGGATCACCCATCCTTCAATCACATGTAGGTGAGTACATCTAGGAGAATACACACACACGTACATACACGTGTGGGTATATGTGTGTGTGTGTGTGTGTGTGTGTATATATATTTGCATGTGTATGTTAGCAGTCATAAAAATAAATCATTACCCATCCTACAAGTCTTATACTCATACTACAAGCCTTACTCATCCTACAAGCCTTACTCATCCTACAAGTCTTACCCATCCTACAAGTCTTACCCATCCTACAAGTCTTACCCATCCTACAAGTCTTACTCATCCTACAAGTCTTACTCATCCTACAAGTCTTACCCATCCTACAAGTCTTACTCATCCTACAAGTCTTACTCATCCTACAAGTCTTACCCATCCTACAAGTCTTACTCATCCTACAAGTCTTACCCATCCTACAAGTCTTACCCATCCTACAAGTCATCCATACCTGTTCGCGGCATCCTTCATCCTCCAGCTTCAACTGGTGGAAGATGACGTCGATCCGTGACAACCTGGAGCCATAGAAGGGGTCGAGCGCGTACACGGGGACGTCCGAACTAGGTGTCGAAGCCTTGCTTGTCAACCCAAATCCCTTCAGGAGAGAAAACGTTTCGTGTTAACTCGATTATAAAAAAAAAATCCTGTACCCCCCCACACACATGCTCTCGTTACTAACACAGTCACAATAACGTGGCTGAAACAAATAACCCAATCCACGCATTTCATATGTATGATATACATATATTATACAATGAATAACAAGATTATGTATATATTACAACAGATGGCCTGGGGAGTTTCTGTTTTAATTATAGGATACATTTGTATTTTTCTTAACAATTTTGTTTTGCATTTTAATCTTAGTTTGAGAAGCGTGTATAATATATTGAAGAAGTCTGATATCGACTGATATCGAGGTTCGAGACCAAGATATCAAAACGCAAAGAACAAGTGAGAGAGAACAAGATTAAAGAACAGCATCAGAGAAGAAAGATGAGAGAATAAGGGCGAGGGAATAAGATGAGAGAAGAAGGGTAATAGAACAAGACGAGAGAACATAATGAGAGAACAAGAGAGATAGAACGAAACGAGAGAACAAGGGTAAGAACATATGCAGACAATGAATCACAATAACATGACTGAACATATGATGACCAAACCACTCATTAGAAAACGGAGAAAACGACAACATTTCTATTCTCTTTTTCTTATTCTTAATCTTACCATTCATCTTATCTTTCATCCTTTTCCTACCTTTCATCTTATTCATAACTTCTCCTTCTTCCTCTGTCTTGCTCCTCACCTTTCATATCCCTCTCTTACCTTATTTGTTTATCCTTTCCTCTCTTTCTATCCCACGACTTCATGATGGTCCACGACGGACCGAAATGTCGTCGTGTCTCCGTTTTCTAATGTGTGGTCTGATCATCATATGAGAGAACAATTTAAACCAAAGAATAGTAAATGAACAAGTGTGGAACAAGAAGCGAGAAAACACGATGAATAAGCAATTGTAACAGAACAAGAGAGAACAAGGTGAACAAGAGAGAACAAGGTGAACAAGAGAGAACAAGGTGAACAACCAGATATAATAGAACAAGAGAGAACAAGGTGAATAACCAGATATAATAGAACAAGAGAGAACAAAGTGAATAACCAGATATAATAGAACAAGAACAGGTGAATAACCAGATATAATAGAACAAGAGAGAACAAGGTGAATAACCAGATATAATAGAACAAGAGAGAACAAAGTGAATAACCAGATATAATAGAACAAGAGAGAACAAGGTGAATAACCAGATATAATAGAACAAGAGAGAACAAGGTGAATAACCAGATATAATAGAACAAGAGAGAACAAGGTGAATAACCAGATAGAACAAGAGAGAACAAGTTGTACCTGGGCCGGGCGGTGTTCGACGACCTTGATGTGTGTAGGGATGTTGGTGCGAACGAATCCAACGTTGTGAGAGGTGTATTCTGGCTCTGCCTTGATGATCTGGGGCCCAGGAGCTTGAGGAGCTGCGGCCACCAGAGCCTCGGCCTTCTCCGGCTACAGAGGTAAAGCAAATATGTATAGAATAATATACGTACTCAAGGGTAATGTATATTCTCAAGGGTAATATATATAAACAGACGGGAAATATATATAAACAGACGGGAAATATATATAAACAGACGGGAAATATATATAAACAGACGGGAAATATATATAAACTGACGGGAAATATATATAAACTGACGGGAAATATATATAAACAGACGGGAAATATATATAAACAGACGGGTAATATATATAAACAGACGGGAAATATATATAAACAGACGGGAAATATATATAAACTGACGGGAAATATATATAAACTGACGGGAAATATATATAAACAGACGGGAAATATATATAAACAGACGGGAAATATATATAAACTGAAGGGAAATATATATAAACAGACGGGAAATATATATAAACAGACGGGAAATATATATAAACAGACGGGAAATATATATAAACAGACGGGAAATATATATAAACAGACGGGAAATATATATAAACAGACGGGAAATATATATAAACAGACGAGAAATATATATACTGAAGGTTAATGTGTGCCATTACCCGTGTAAATGATATTATGTCGTTTATTTAAACAATTCACGACTCATTTTACTTTCAACTATTTTGCATTTAACTGAAACAAATTACAGTGTTGTAGGTAAGGAACTCGTTTGTTTACATCTCAGATGACGATCTTACACACTGAAGATGATGCTACTCACATGATTAAGTTCCTGTGTAGGTGATTGTGAGTTCTGGTGACGCTGAGGGCGGTTCAGCTCCGGAAGGGGTTCCGGTCGGCCGTGACCGATGGACGTGGAGGTCACCACCCGCACGGACTTGGCTGTGGCCGTCCTGAAGAACACGGCCGGCTGCGGGGTGGTGGTGGGGTTCGGTGACGGACTCGTGTTGAACACTCCTGGTCATGCAAATGTAATTACATTATGATATATATATAATAACTAAGACTAGCACAGTAGGGACCACGAACACTTGATGTAGCCACGAGAAACTATTGTGGCTCTGTAATGGCTCGAACTCTATCTCAGGGATCATATATGTAATCAAAATTATGGTACTTAGAAAATGAGATATTTTCATTATAATGTCTTTGATCCTCAAAATTACTTACCAGATGTGACTAAAGAAATCTGGCGCGTGGACGTCTCAGGTTCTAACTTGATTATGGAGGCCTCACCGGGAACGTTAATAGGTTTAAATCCTCCTGAGTTTGTCTGATGTGCCAACCCAACTGCTGGCTTAGACTTAGGGGTCGGGGTTGGCTTGTTTTTCGGTAATACGGTCTCGTGCTTAGCAGGTCTAAATCCTAGCTTGGTTTCTTTTGGTACTGGTGCAGAGTCGCCCGCCGCCGGTCTCTTTACAGTAGCATCATCGACAGGAGAATCCTGTTTGATGATGGGCTTGAAACCTCTCTCTGTGTTGATAAGTGTACTCTGTGTGGTATGAACATACACAGGCTGGGGACTTGGTACTTTGAAGATTGGATTTACAGTAGCAGTGGCCACACCTTGCGGTCCATTGAAGACCTTGAAGTGGGTTCCTCCTCTATTGCCTTCATTCTGGAAGGTCCCAAATGTGTTGGACTTGTCACCTGATGCGCCAAGAGCAATGGTTTCTGAAAGACTAGACTCCTGGGCCTGAATATCAACCGGTCCTACAGGGAGACGTTGTTGACGCGGGGGAGGCTGCGACTGAATCCTGGGGCGTTTTAGAGGTTGCTTCTGACCCTGAGGTTTCCGAAGTTGTTGTCGGGGCTTCTGTTGCTGTCGAGGCTTCTGGGAGTCTTGCAAGGGACGCTTCTGCTGCGGTGGTTGAGGGTTCAAGGGCGGCCCATTGCCTTCAACTAGCTTAGGCCCACCGGCAGGAGGAGCCCCCTGTGGTCCCCCTGCGGGAGGCGGCTGCAGGAAATTACCTGCAGGATTCCTTTGTTGGGAAACACCTTTGTTTCGAGACTGGGATTGATAAGGGTAATGTTTGTCGTAATAATCCTTGTATCGAAGGTACCATTGGTGGTACCACTGGGCGTAGTTCTTCTGGTACTCGACGTCCTGGTGGTCAAGCTGCTGGTGCTGAGGGGGCTTCTCATTCTCGTCTCTCCTCAGATGCTGAGGGCGGAAGTGAGGCAGACCAGGGGGCCGGAAATTAGGCTGGGGTCGAACTGTTGGGTTGTCCGCTCTCGCTACGGTCGACGAACCCGACCAAAAGTATGGGATGGAAATAAGCCCTCCGAGGACAGCCAGCCATGACATAGGACCAAATGCTGGAAAGAAACATTATGGAAACATTACATTTGAAACTACACAATGTTTACAACTGTATCTGGAGGTGCATATTATTGTATGAAGTGGAGCTGGTGAGGAAAAGTGTGGTAAAAGAAAGCTAGAAAGAAAGGAGAAAATGGGAATTATCATGGGGAAAGCGCCAAGCCATTACGACTATATAGCACTTGGAAGGAGGTCAGGATTTAGGATGGGACGTGGGGGGGGGGGGAAGGAATAGTGCCCAACCTCTTCGACAGTCGGGGATTGAACGCCGACCTGCATGAAGCGAGACCGTCGCTCTACCGTTCAGCCCAAGTGTTTGGGTCACAAAGGAAGAAGATGAATGATACTTGAGTGGTCTGCAAGACGGTCAATATATTTGAATCTCCCAAGCAATCTCCAGATAATATTGTCTATGAGGTTAGCCATTGTTAAGTCTGCATTATCAGTAATTTGTTGTGTTAATACACATCCGGGAGTTTAAATACTTTAAAAATATTCAAATTCACTATACAAAATTTGTCTGTGACTAATAATAATAGTAATAATGATAGTTATAATATTAAAAATTAAAAATAAATACGATAATACTACTAATTACAATAACAATAGCTAACATTAATCAGGAAATAACTATTACATTAATAAAAAAAATAGTGATAAAGTAATAAAAAAAATGGTAATTAATATATAACATAATGAACATTAACGTCGATAATGTCGCTATTAACGCAAAAACAATAATTCTGTGAAGCGGAACATACAGAAAACAGACAATTTTTAAGGGGACACTCACATATGACGGAGGTGATGGCGGGGTCTTGGCGGGGCATGGCCACACTCAGCTCGGTCTCGGAGGTGGCCGACCTCCCTTGCAGCTCCGACAGGGCCTTCTGCGTCATGAACTCCTCCATCTCCTCCTCGTGCAGCAACACGCTCTCTGGAAGCACTAACTTGAAGCGGTGATTTGAGAGGTAGTCCTCGGCCAGTTCACTGAGAATCTTGGAGGAATCGTCGCTGCTAAGATCCTCGTCGTTGAAGACGTCTGTCAACTTCTTCGTGAGAGTGAGAAGGCCTTTGGCCAGCTTTTCGTCTCCTAGGTACTTGAGGCTGGTCTTAAAGGCACTGATTCCACCGGCCTTCAGGAGGTCTGAGTAGGTCGGGTTCTCTTTGTGGGTATAAGCCTGTACTACAGTCATCAGAATGGGCAATAAATTATCTTTATTGACAATAACGTCCTTCTGAGAATGAATCGGTTCCGGAACGTTGGCTCGGAACTCGGCCAGCGTGGGAGGTTCCGTGTCATTCAGTGAGTACAATGCATAGTCATCGTCGTCTAGGGAGTGCAGTTCGTAGTCGAATTCAGTCGTTGTCTCTACATGTTCTTCATCATAGGACCAGTCGTCGCCGACCTCCTGTACAACGGCAGGAGTCTCCACTTCTCCTACAGAAGAGCTGGTTAACACGTGGGTAGCCTCAGGCTCCTGCACTACCGTTGTCTCCTCGGAGAGAGAGGCTGGCGATGAGGTGGTCGGGAATTCGGTGATATTTCCGACCGAATAGTTGGTAGTAAGCGCATCGCTAGTAGTAGTAGCGGGCACCTCGGTCGTAGATGAGGGTACGGTCGCAGAGGATGTAGTCGTAGATTTAATGGATGACGATGCGACACCAATCACCACCACGAGAGTCACTAACTGCCTTAAGAGCAACATTTCAAATGTTTAGTTACAGTACGTTGTGTCAGTCACTATAAAGTTGCATTACATATTAAATGACAATGAGACAAAGTGCTCACTTCTTAACTTTGATATCAGCTCAATATATCGTAAGATATATCCTCGCACAGCTCCGTCAGCTCAATATACTCTCGCACAACTCTGTATAACAGTTTCGGCGACTGAACCTCCGTGTCCTTGAGTGTTCCCAGAGCGCCTGTGGACGCGTGCGGCCTTGGCAGTGGCTGCGGCGGGTCTGACCCAGTGAGGAGCAACTCCACGGCTTCGTCTCACATGGCAAACTTCCAGCAACAGCTCGGGGCCGACCAATCCCAGCGCATCACCTCCAGTGCTGCAAACGACACTGTACACTTTTGAACCAAACACGCTTATAACTATACAGTTTCCTGATTGCTTGCAAGCATTTCAACCCCCCTCGTAGGAACAAGAGTTTGTTCGAGAGCATCTGTATCTGTTCTGTGAACAAAAGGCGAAATATATCAAAGAAGAATTCTCTCTGTTTGCATTTCTTGCTCATCTTGCCTGGCCGCTTTCTCTTCCGGGCGGAGCAACCCGGCCCACCTCCACATGTCCTACGCACCTCTCTGCCCTCATAGCAGCTCCTGCTTTCACTCGAGTTTTACCGTCACCCTTTACTGAGGTGAATCACTAATCAAATACACACATTCTGATCATCACTTTGCTGTTTTGAATGTACATCAGAAAATGTCATTGACACTCAGTGGCTTATCCCCAAATCCTTATCCTGACCCCCTTCCCAGTGCTATATAGTCGTAATGGATTGGCGCTTTCGCCCCCTGATAGTTCCCTTCAGTGACTTATCTTCCCGGAAAGTTTAATTTGCTGGAAGTACACTTGTGTTGGAGGAGCCTGACAGGTCATAGTTGTATTGGTGCGATATTTCTAAGGTGCAGCATGAAGGAATGTATATATGACAGAAGGGAGGCATGACTAGGTTGCCACAGGGAAGCATGACTATGTCGCAACATGAATGCATGACTATGTTGCAGGAAACAGGACTAGGTTGCAGGCGAGAAGCATGACTAGGTTGTAGTATGGAAGCATGCTTCCCTGCTGCAACTTCGTCATAGCTACATTGCAACCAGAAAGCATGACTATGTTGCAACCTACATATATGACTTATGTTGCAGCATGGAACAATTACAACGATGCACCCAGGTTTGTTGAATAAATCCCACGCCAGCTAATTAAACATGAAGGCCAGAAAGATTGGAACAACAGTTCAACATCTAACGGCAAATTATGATCCTTCGCCAGAATTTCACTTGCAACTTGTGATAAAAACGTTTCGTGTCAGGAAAATATTCCATGCGTTCCCCCACGCCGGTCGGGTCCTGTGGTCCTGGGTTCGATCCCAGGCACCGGCGAGAAACAATGGGCAGTTTCTTTCACCCCCTATGCCCCTGTTACCTAGCAGTAAAATAGGTACCTGGGTGTTAGTCAGCTGTCACGGGCTGCTTCCTGGGGGTGGAGGCCTGGTCGAGGACCGGACCGCGGGGACACTAAAGCCCCGAAATCATCTCAAGATAACCTCAAGATAACGCCTGTGTACCTGTTGTGTTGCGAGAATGTTGTACTAGGACTAGCCAGTACCGTTTCAAGCTGGAAGCGAAAAGACAATGAACAAATATCAAGGATACGAGTACTAACATCATTTTAATGAAATATGACTACAAAAATAAATGAAAATCAAATTTCCTTCCATTTATCTTGAGGTGAGTCTGCAAGGTACCGAGAGGCGAAATAGGGGGAATTGTTTCCCCTCTTTGGAGGACACGGAAAGGAAACCTAAGGAAGGGCGACACGACTTTCTCCTGGGCTTCGCCGCCCGGCTGCCCACTCTCACCCTAACACCCGGCATTTCATCACATCTAGTCAGGAGAAAGCTTCTCTCTCTCAACATCTCAAGAACAAAAAATAGCAAGAATGTGATCTTGCCTGAACGACCGTGTTAATGTCACGCGTGAGGTGGCTGCCCCCCTTGGACGTCACGGGGATGATGTGGAGGGGAAGGGCAGAGGTTAATGTTGTGAGAAGAAAGAATTCGAGCTGGTTACTAACATTATCCTCATTGTACCAGCAGGTGTAGAGTGACGATCGTCTGGCTTTTCCGGTTCATGATCGGCGCCAGCGGCATGAGAGATGCGGCATATCGGCGTTCCTTGTGCAGATAAGGTAAGTTGACCAGACCACACACTAGAAGTTGAAGGGACGACGACGTTTCGGTCCGTCCTGGACCATTCTCAAGTCGATTGTGATGAGGAGGTAGGGACAGGCAATAAATAGGCAAGAGAGAGCTGAGAAGGAAAGTAAGGTGTAGGGGATAGTAGTAATAATGAGAACTGCAGATAAGGTAAGGGTTGGTAGGTGCTGACTGCGAGCAGGAAGGGAGGATTGGGTAGTGCGGCATACCATCGTTGCCTGCGGCAGGTAGGGTGGCGGTGGCCTAGTGCGGTATCCCGTCGTTACCTGCGGGAGAAAATGAACCGTTACAATGATAATTTGACACTTTGACATTTGCTATTATTGCAGGTGATGAGTCACAATAACGTGGCTGAAGTATGTTGACCAGACCACACACTTAGAAGGTGAAGGGACGACGACGTTTCGGTCCGTCCTGGACCATTCTCACAATCGACTTGAGAATGGTCCAGGACGGACTGAAGCGTCGTCGTCCCTTCACCTTCTAGTGTGTGGTCTCGTCAACATTGCTATTAATGTAAAGAGTGAGAGAGACAATTCCATATATATATATATATATATATATATATATATATATATATATATATATATATATATATATATATATATATATATATATATATATATATATATATATATATATATATATACACACACACACACATACACACTAGATGGGACTCCTGGCTGTACCCGGGTCTCTTCCCCATCTCCATCTTCTCTTCTGACCCGTCTCCTCCCATCTCTACTCACTCTCCCTCCTTCTCCTTCCCTCTCCTCCCCTCTACACATTTGGTATGTGACTTGCACATGTTCTGGCATAGAAGAATTACTTTACTTTTGGTCACCAGCTGTATCTATACCCTATATCTATACCCTATATTATTTTTATATAATTATATGAATGATAAGTTAGAAAAAGGCATAGATAATACTCCACCAATGAACTCAACATGAAACAAGCAGCAATCAACAAGGGATTTCAACAGATAATAGAAATCTTCTGATGATTTCAATAGAAAGTAAGTAGTAATCCACTGATGATTTCAATAGAAAGTAAGTAGTAATCCATTGGTGACTTCAATGGAAAGTAAGTAGTAATCCACTGGTGATTTCAATAAAAAGTAAGGAGTAATCCACTGGTGATTTCAATAGAAAGTAAGTAGTAATCCATTGGTGATTTTAATAGAAAGTAAGTAGTAATCCATTGGTGTTTTCAATAAAAAGTAAGTAGTAATCCATTGGTGGTTTCAATAGAAAGTAAGTATTAATCCACTGGTGATTTCAATAGTGAGCAAGTAGTAGTCCGCAGGTAATGGAGAGATAGAGATTTCAATAGAGAGAAAGTAGTTCATTGCTGATTTCAGTAAACGTAAAATTCACGGTGATTCTAGTTACTTAAATAACATTTCATTCATAACGAGGTGTATGTTGTATGTGGGACGGGGTGTATATATGTGTGTGTGTGTGATGGGGTGTATATGTATGTGTGACGGGGTGTATATGTGTGTGGGACTGGGTGTATATGTGTGTGTGATGGGGTGTATATGTGTGTGTGTGACGGGGTGTATATGTGTGTGGGACGGGGTGTATATGTGTGTGTGGGACGGGGTGTATATGTGTGTGTGACGGGGTGTATATGTGTGTGTGTGACGGGGTGTATATGTGTGTGTGACGGGGTGTATATGTGTGTGGGAAGGCGAGGTGTCTGTATACTCACCTAAGTTGTACTCACCAAGTTGTGCTTGGGGGAGTTGAGCTTTGGTTCTTTGGTCCCGCCTCTCCATTGCCAATCAACTGGTGTACAGATTCCTGAGCCTACCTGGCTAAATCATATCTACATTTGAAACTGTGTATGGAGTGGCATACCTCTGGTGGCATACCTCTGAACCTTTTCTAACTTTGTTTTGTGTTTGACTAGATGTGGACGCCAGACTGGAGATACATATTCCAGTATTGGTCTCACATATTAGGTATTCGTATATGTATGAGCGCGTCCCTGTGGTACTCAGACATCGATTTACTATATAGTGTTGTAAGTATATATATAGAGGTAAATAATTATATTCTTAAACAACGAATAATTCTTGTAGCATCAAGAGGGTCACCCATCAGACACGCAGACGCTGTTACCACAGGAATCAGACCATTGGAAACACTTTCAATCCCCCACCCCCCCACTCCATCCTACCACCAATCTTCCTCCGGTCCCCAACCTTCCCCCCCTCCCTCGTCTATCTCCTTACTCCCCACTTCCCCCCCTCCCACCTCCTCCTCCCCAACATTAAACCAGATCCGGTATATTTTGTGTCGGATACCGTTACGCGCCAGACATGGAACGGAGTCTTTTTTAACCTTGCAGACCAGTTTTTTCTCCTTCTTCTTCTTCTTCTTCTTGAGTGTTCGTTTGCATCTTAGTTATGCCTATTGTCTTAGTTAAGACAATCAACTTGGGAATGGTCCAGGGCGGACCGAAACGTCGTCGTCGTCCCTTCACCTTCTAGTGGGTGGTTTGGTTAACATACTTTAGCCACGTTATTGTGACTCATCGCCTGCATCTTGGTTACTTGATAATTCCCGCAGTGCTGGAGTTAATTCCCTGTCGACTCCTAGACATAATATCCTTATCTGTCCAAATTTAATCAGACAAATAATTAACGATTTCATTTATCTTCTGTAACATTCGAGCCTTCAAACTAGTTCTGCTGAAATCAAGGCTCTATTTTTCTGGATTTGAACGAATATTCAAGACCTTGAAAATATTTGATTTACATATGGTTTAACATATGATTTGCATATGATTTATTTACATATGATTTAACTTGTGAAAGTACAATTAGGAAATTATTAGTTAGAGAGAACCCTAGTAGTGATAAATGTCTTTTACAAAGTTCCCCTGTTAAGATTATAATACATTTTATATAGCTCAAACATTAAAAGTTTGGAAATTTCGAATCATGCAGCATAAATATTCTGTAAGAAGGAGTCAA